GTTACCTCGGTGACCTGCCGTGCCATGCTGATGATGTATTATTCCGTCACTTGTAGGCGGATGTCTATTCCGATCGTCTTATACAGTAAAGGAGCCGGTAGCCTCCGGGCTCTTTCCCACCTCCGTTTTGCCCCTCTGTCTTGCTCTGAAGCTATACTTTACTTTGCGTTCATCATACCAAGACCCCCTCCTCGCTATCAGGAAAGCACCTCTCCAGCAGCCTCTCGCGATGCCTCACAAGAGCAGGAAACTCGCGCAGAATCTCCGACAGCGACGCATCCACCCACCCAAACTCCTCGTCGAGCAGCAGCTGCGTGTACGAGAAGACAGACGCGTCAAACAGCGTCGGGCCCTCGCAGCCAAAGAACCACTCACCACCACCACCCTCTCCCCCCTTTTCTGAGTGACGACTACTTCGACTGCTGCCGTTCTCCTCCAGCAACGCAGCAAGAGCCTCAAACGCGGCGCGCGCGTCAGCGTGTACCCTCTTCGCATCCACCACCGCGCTCCTCGTCACCTTCAACACCTCGGCCTCGGCCGCCGCGCGGACCCGGTGCGCGAGCGTCAGCCTGACGACGGGGTTCTTTGACGCCGGCTCGATGTAGAGTCGCGACAGGAGGTCCGCGTTGGCGGGGGCGAGGTAAAGGGCGTATAGCCAGGCGGCGCGGAGGCGGTGGTCCAGCAAGGACTGGTAGGCTTGTTCGCGGGCCTTGAGCTCCGCGTCGGGCGCGGAGGAGGTCGAGAAGGAGGAGGAGAGCACGGGCAGCCTCTTGAGGGTTGTGTTTTCTAGGGCGTAGGATTCGAGTTTCGAGGGGCCGGCGATGGGGCGGAGAGGGGAGGGCGGGAGGAGGTAGGGGAGGGCGCCGGAGGGGGAGGCGTGGTTTGTTGAGGGGGCGATGTGGAAGTCTACGCCGGCGATTTTGAGAAAGGTCTGTTTGGGAGGGGAGGGTTAGCCTGATGCTGCGTGCAAAGACGGAGGACGAGTATAGCCAACGGCGGGCATGTCGCCAGGGAAGAGGAGGAAGACATCGAAACGAACCTGCCACTTTAGACACGAGGGGTTGAAGCTCGGTCGGCCCCTCGGGGCATCGTCGTCCGCGATGAAGACGTATAGTGTCGGCGTGTCGCCGCGGGAGGGACTGCGGAGGGGTAGGTCGTTGGCAGGGTAGACGGCGAGGGGGAAGCGTCGGAAGAGGGCGGCGACGGGGGCCGGGACGGCGAACCAGCTTCTCGGGGTGTTGTCCGGCATGATGGCTAGCTTGCGGCAGCGGCGTTGGCGCCGGAGGTGGCTTGCTCTCGGTGAGGCCGATGCGGTCGATGATGAAGGCGGGCGGGCGGGCAGGAGTCCCGGGCGTGGGTGTGGTTGGGAGGGATTGGATGGAACGGAGAGCTCCCGTCGTATGACGCGGGGAGATTGAGCCGAGGGTTGTGGAGGTCGGGTGTCCGGTAGACGGGGCTCGGCGGCGGGGTGAGCTGCGGGATGGGATGCAGAGCGAGCTCGGGGGAAAAGATGCGGCGCCGGTGCGTGGCTGGTAGGTGTGATTTGCCCTGGGAGAAAGGGGGACGAGTGGGAGCGGTGCGGCGTGCGGCGTGCCTCGGTCTCGCGGAATGGCGGGGCGGTAGGCTGTAGCTACCTTACTCAAACTTCAAAGTTGGGCCTGAGGTCAGGAAATCGGTATACTTGGTAGGTAGTACTCTACAGCTCGTGGTTTGGTTGGCCGGATTCATGAGATTTGATGGAGACGTCCGTTGTTCCGTAAGGTATTCGTGTGGTTGTACGATTATGCCCGTCGCGATGCGCAACTTTCTACACCGCCCATCCTGTGTCTTCGGAGTAATTTATCGCTTCTCCATGCGAGATAAGGGGTCTTTGCTCCCGAAGTCTACTTTCCCGCTCCTCAATTTTCTCGGCGCATTTGGGGCGAGACAGGGGCATAAAGTGGGTGGTGCCAGAACTTGCTACCTTAGTGTTGCATGAGGGTTTTTATTTCTCCTTCTCGTTGCTTTATCCCACTCTTACTCTTGAATATGGCCATGGAGACGTTGACCCGTGGACCATGGGCCAGTGGACAGCAAGTGCATGAATGGACGCCCGTTTGCTGGTTTGAATAAAGCTACCGGGACAGCTGCAGGAGAGCTGCAGCCGTGTCCAGCGGCCGTCCAGTCAGTTACGGATACTCTGCTGCAGCTGGGAAGACGGAGCGGGTTTGCGGCGCCGTGGATGGACCCTGAATTTCTTGTGACATCCCTGCCTTTGGCTGTATTGCGGTATGCCTCTTCTTTCTGAATCTGCCCTCGTCCTCGATGCAGCTTTTGATTGACACGAACATATCCGTAGCAATGCTTTTCTTGCAAGTACTCCGTATATTGGCGGGTCACTTGGGCCAAAGTCCCGTGCATCAGACTGGAAGAATTCCCATATGTCACTGGCTGGAAAGTTCATGGGAATCTCGCTCAAATTCCAGAGTTGCCTGCCTCGGCGGCGGGGCGATGTCGGCGTGCCCTCGGTCGGTCCAAGGTGAGTGGCTGCGGATCAACCGCGGTGAATTTCCCAGATCCGAGAGACCTTCTAGCGGGTGGGGCTTCAGGTTCTGCGTCTTCCTCTTCTTCTCCGGGGAGGGGGGGGGGGGGGGGGCGGGGGGGGGGGGGGGGTGGGGGGGGGTGGGGGGGGGGAGGCGGGGGGGGGGGGGGGGGCGGGGGGGGGTGGGGGGGGGGGGGGGGGTTGGTGGGCTTTGTGTGGTGGGGGGGGGGGGGGGGGGGGGGGGGGGGGTCGCAAGGTGACCCTCGGTACTTTCGGTCAAATTCCTCGCCCAATTCCCAAATGGGCCTCTCCTACCGCCGTTACGGGTTTTCCGCCCGTCGACAATCCATCCTCGACGAGTCGACAGCTTGTCACTTTTGACGTGGTTGCAGGAAGAAAGCTGACCCGCCCGCAGGAACGATGTCCGTCACGGCGGGCACTCACACCGGACACTGCCCGGCAAGCATTGAGCCATTCCTTGAAAAGTTGACAGGAGCCATGACGGCCAGGCACAGAGCACTACGTATTGACATGCCAGATAGAAAGATCGCGCGACTCGTGCAGAACATGCAAGTGTATGCGCCTACGCCAGCGCCGACGCTATTACAGAGGGGAAGCATGGCCCATCGATCGATTCCATCCCCTCCACACCTCTTTTGATGGCTCTGGACCTTGATGGGCACCTCGTTCAATTTTTTGCTTCGACGCTTGCCGAGCAACTCCTCGGCGAATTGACTCGAACACTGGCGAGCTAATCGGGAGTTGAGGCCGTCTACCACGGCGACTACCTTACACTGGACATCCGTTGCTACCAAAAGTCGAGGTTGACCTGCCACTGCCCGCCTACCTTACCTAGGTAGCTTCGACTAAAGCTGCATGGTCCTAGGCGATGGGCTAGGAGGAACCTTCCCAATCCAAACTGTCGTCAACTTGTTCGTCCGAGACTATGCTGTTGCGCATTTGGCTATTCGTACGCATGCTGTGGAGGGCCAGGTTCCGAGTGCTGCGTTCCAAGAATCGACGTGAGGGAGGATCCTGATCAAATTTTTTGTCAATCAGATAAGAAACGCACAAGGCATTCAGGCAAGAAAGAAATTTTACCATTCTCCGGCATATGGATATTGCATGATTCTCGCCCTTGGATCAGAAGAGAGTGGTCCAACATGAGCATCATCCTGCCGCGGCCTGTGTTACCTCCCGGGATATTCTCATGCCGAAGGTATTCCGAAGCCTCGCATTTGGCTGGAGCGACTCAGCGAGAACGTTTTGGCGGGGCAGCCGTGGGGAAAGCATTTTTTTTTCCCTCTCTTCCAAAGTGGGACACATTTGTCAAACGTGGGAGATCTCCGTCCCGAGATTTTCCGTTGCTTGAGACCAAAGCCCACTGCCCAGAGGGTCCCCAGACGGGAAGCATGCCGCTAGGATGAAGCGAGGTCGGAAAACCAAGCGACGGAGGGGCGGACATGCGCGTTCGACGGTCGCTCGAGACGAAGAAAAAAAAGTTAAGGCGAGGCGCCGAAGAAGCTAGTTGTCTTGTGGGGTGGAAAGCCTGGAGAGTGCCACAGAGAAAACGGATGCGCCGTCAACATCGTTCGGTTCTTCTTCACATGTCTCCACCGAAGCCGGCATCTCCTAGGATGCTCTCGGTGATAGGTGTCGGCAGCATGGAGTCTGATGGACCAAGTCCAAGACCAACAACAACCGTCGCCACTTCTCCAGCCCCAAGTTTCTTACCTTACGTGAGTATCCACGACCACGCAACGTAAGGAGCAGCGGGAAGCCCAGGCAGAAAAGTCTTTTGCGGATACGTCAACCGTCAACGGTCCTTTGCGCACAGCCATCCCGCGGAAAGTGAGGCAAGAGGTGCCTGCTCAACCAAAGAGGCAAGAGCTGACGAAGACGAAGGCTTCAGCCTTCATGAATTGGAGGGATCAATGTGGAAGGCAGAGGAGCAGAGACTGGGGGAAATCACAAGCAAAATGGAAAGAGGCGTCTTGAATCAGGAGCCACCAGATCTTCCATCGTTTGAGTTTTGGCAATCGCTCGCAGCTTCCCCGGCTTTTCTCTTTGTGTTGATGGAGATGTTGGAACAAGTTCAAGGCTTGTGATTTTCCCCCTCCCCTCGTGGAGTTCTCCCCCGCAATCCCGTTCAAGATAGAGTTCAGCCCGCATCAACCCAGCACCGCGAAACCACCTCACCTTACCTTAAGGCTCGTGCTTGGTATTCGAACCGCAGCAGCAAGAGGCACAGTCGTTGCTCTACTATATGACTGCCCTATCTACTCTAGTCCATCTCTGAGGACCATCCTCCGTGGCGGGATACTACATCATCCTAGTCGAGCCCGTGATCGAGTATCTCGCACTGCATCGCATTACATCGCATCGTCCGCTTCCGCCTGCGTCTCTCAGTCATTAATCCGTTCATTCGCCAGAAAGGAAAGACATTCCGCAACTGGGCAGGCCAATATCCGTACTGTGCCTATGATGGACGGGCCTTGATGGACGTGGGTACATAATCACATAGGCTGGTACGGATAGCGCAATCTTGGTCCTCCCCCCAAGTGGAGCAGAGCATGTCATCGTCGGGCTGTTGTCTCCCTCGTCCTAGGCCGAAATCGAACGAGGCAGGGCTTCCGTGCATTGGCTCTTGAGCTTCTTTCCCAGGATCACACAGCCAGGGGCGGTTTGATGCGATCCAGTACCATGCGGAGAAACGGCCCAGAGTCTCTCGCTGACGGCGCATCAAGGGAAAAGCAGACACGCAGGTACCGATACATGGGGACCCGAGGCCACCCCCATGCTTCCAGCCCAGGCCCATTATGACAACCTGCCCCCCAGGAACCAGCACCAAGGCACGCCGCACCATGACATGCTGCCTTTTTTTATGAAGAGTTGGCTCGACGGATACCTACCCCACACTGCGAAACGCTCGACGGCGAGAAGGCCGACCTCTCTCCTCCGTTTCCGCCGCTCAGGATTCGTCCATTCCAGCCTGTCAAGCACTGTGAGCGTGTGCTTCCGAACCTGCCACAGCGGTCGCTCGAGCCGCTGATCCGCAAAGACCCTGAAGGCCTTTTGGCCTTTGCTGAGTCGCGAGACGAGGTGCAAATCCCCTTCCCCCCCGCCTCAGATGGGGGAAGATGTACCGGTACTTGGCACATAGAGGCCCTCAGTTACTGCTTTTGGCGACGTTTACCGCGAGGCTTTACGCCTGACGCTTGTGCCTCTGCAAGTACCTCCCCGCAATGACAAACATCAGGTCAAGCAGGCTGCTGGCTGTTGATCTGGGCTGGGCCATGTTGGGTCGTAGGAGGTGGCTATTGGGGTTGATGGACAAGTATGCGTCGCCGTCCCCTTGACGAGGCAAAGAGAGGAAGCCGAGGCGATACGATAGCCGAAGAGAGTGAGGAAGAGAAAGAAGGAAACCATGCAGACGGCGATTCGGCGTCATACCAAGCTCTCGCGCATTCATTCAACCTATCCACCTCCATCTTCGGACCTATTATCGCGGCTCCAGGAGTTGGTCGGGTCCAGGGCATAGAGCGTCATGGATTAGACGGCGGGAAATAACGTGAAGACGTATGGAGTATCGTCCCTCTTTTTTTCCCTTCCCTCTCAGTCTTGCTCTGCTCAGCGGGGAGAGGGAAGGGGAAAAAAAAAGAACTGGAGATAAGATGGATTCTTCAACCGCGGCTACTCTCCGTAACCGTGTACACTTACTTTGGCAAAGTAAATAACCCAACTCGGACAGCCATCTCGGTCTTGCATCGGTAGATGGGAAAAAGCAGAAGACACACACTCGCGCGCACACACACACACACACACACCTGATATTGTTCTCTTTATCCTCTCGACTCGCCCACCCCAAGCTTTCCTGGCCCAATTACCACATTTATCCTATCCCTCCCACACTCCTCCCACACTTTTAACTGTTTAACCACACCCACCCACGCTCCTCGTCTGGATCAAAAGCAAGTCAACTGGACAACCCGCGAACCAACCCCAATCAAAGACAAGCCCATCACATCATCACTCGCACACCCACACAAACCCGCACGAGCTGTCTGTCCTCTACTTCGTACTTCGTACACAATAGACTACTCGCTCCAGCCTTCTTTCGGCTCAGAATCCTACATACACTCAAGCAAGGAAACGCTGCTGCTGCTACCACCCACACTATCCCGCATACCTACGCAAGCCCGCGTCGACTACCGACTCACACTCGCCTTATTCTGTCCTCCAGGCCCGGCTCAGCTGCTACACACTCGAACGATATCCCACACATAAGAGTCGCAACATCCCTCCGCGCCTGACTGTGGTATCGCCGATCCCCCTTCTGCCTGTCTCACTTCTGCGAATCACTCTCTCCCTCTCCCTCTTTCTATTTTGCCAAAAAAAAAGAGAAACCAAAACTTGGCCTGCCTCCCGCTTTGTTATCTGCCTCTCACGCGCTCACTCGCTCGCTCGCTCAATCTATCCACCGACTCGTTTGGCCTTGTTACCCGCTGCCGGAGCAAGGGTTGGTAATCCGCAATCGCGCCGAATTCCAATATTGCCCATCCAATATTGTTGCAAGCAAAGACAAGCGGTCCCGCAATTATAGCCTGTCACCGACAACCCAGGGTCGTCCCACGATCACTTTAAACCAGCCGCCGTCCTCACCCACACACCCCACGCCTCACGGCATTCCCGCTGCTCGTTACTTGGTCTTGAGTAAAATCTCAGACACCACACGTACTTTTTCGTGTCTACTCCGCACTCACCGTCGACTATCCTTCCTTTTTCACAAAAGGGGTTCTTCCGCACCTTCACTCTTGTCGGACATTTCCCATTCCACCCTTCTTAGCTTCTTGATCCCGCCTTTCCCTCCTCCCCACCCCCCGCCTGACATCACCTACTTTTCAGGTACCTGTGCTACTTGGGGTCTCACATAAAGAGTCAAGATCTGCGCTCCGAAATCGAAGATCTGGGGAATAAGTATAATACCACCAACCATCCATCCATCGCCCCCTTCTCGGACCTTGGTTCCTGGCCCTACGCAGCAATCATCCCACACCCGAATACTCCAACCTTCTCTCGTCATTGAGAGAATCGTATCACAACCACAACAACATCTCGAAAATCGTCACCATCACCCACCACGCACCGCCCACCATGAACGCACCAATCCAGTCTCCCAAGCGCCAGGACTCCACGTCCTCCATCTCCTCCTCATCGTCGCACATGTCCACAAACCAAATGATGGCGCCACCCCAACCCAACGGCCAGCAGCCCCCTTCAACCGAGGCCTTCCTCCGCGACTTCACACTCGTCGCCGAGGCCGCAAAACGTGCCCAGATGGCCGTCATGATGCGCGACTTTGAGTCTTGCGGGCTCTCATAGATGGATGCCGCATTCTGTTCGGTTCACGCAAAGAAAGAGTCCGAAAGCGACCGAGCTTTTCCCATCGTCCCGGGAAGCTTTTTCTCCAACTGGCTCAGACCGTCATTTTGAGGAACGAATACTCCGAATTTCATCGGATGAGAGGACCCCGCTGAAACGCTGTTACGGGGCCGAGAGGGAAACCGAGGCACCGCGCCAACGCTTCGGCGGAGTCGGGGCAGAGGGGGACCAGGGCGAGAGAGAGAGTTTGTCGTGTCATTGAACCGACGACACTGGACTCTCCTTAGCTCTTCTTCCCCTCACCAGATTCAGTCACTGGCGTGGCCTTGCTCGGTCCATCTCTTCCCTTTCCTCTCACTCACTCTCTCACTCGCTTTCACTCTTCACCCGCTCGCTACACAACATTTAATCGACATTGAAGTCTCTGGGGAACTCTACACGGTTTCGCATTTCTTCTCGGTGATTAGAGGCGGGGATAGACAAAGACTCATCTCATCGGGTTCATCTCACTGGGGTTTTTCCTTCATGATAAACACGCAACCACACTACTACACATTCACACAACAACTGGCGTATACGGAACAAATGGGGGGGGGCATCATTGCATTGCGGGAAATTTCGTTTTGATATCACGAATATTTTGGAAAGGACACGACTTTTGGCGTTTTGGGAGGGAAGAAACTTGGGCGTCTATCACGACCCAGTTGAATTGGATTCCGCTCACCATTTTATTATTTACTATTTTTCCTGTATGAATACCACTGAGGAGGACAAATGGTCTTACCTAGATCTTGCTTTACAAATTCTTAGCTACAAAGAAATAAGGCCAGTCTATCTGGTCTTTTTTTCAATACTCTTTTGGGTTACAGATTGCGGTATCTCTAATGTGACATGGCCCCAAATGATTGACTGCCGTTCGCTCTCATATCTTTCTTTACATATTCTCGCCGCAATCCTGAGCTTGTAAGAATGAACAAAACTCTTTGACGAGATTTCCATCTACACACTTCTACTGTCCCAAACATGACTCCCCCCCCCAAGGCCCATCTCACAACTTGGAAGCCAACACAATCCCACCATCAACAGTAATCGTCGCCCCGGTCACGAACGCGCCCGCCCGCCCGCTCAGGAACAGACACGCGCCCGCGACGTCCTGCGGCGTCCCGATCCTCCGCATCGGGATCTCCTCCTCGATGGTACCGCGCATCGTCTCGAGCGTGGCCGCCATCATCTTGCTCTCGAACGGCCCGCAGGCCAGGGTGTTGCTCGTGACGCCCCTGGGCCCCAGCTCCCTGGCGAGCGCGCGCGAGAGGTGGTGGAGGCCGGCTTTGCTCGCGCTGTAGGCGTACGAGGAGATGAGGGGCACGCGGAGGCCGTCCACGCTGCCGATGTTGATGATGCGCGAGGGGTCGCCCGCGCCCGCGCCGCCGGACGCGGCCTCGAGGAGGGGCGCGGCGAGCTGCGTGAGGGTGAAGACGCGCTGGAGGTTCAGGGTGAGGAGTTTGGTCCAGGCGGCGTCCGGGTACGTCTCGAAGGCGTCGCCCCACGCGGCGCCCGAGTTGTTCACGAGGACGTGGAGTTTGCCCCCCGTCTGCTCGGCGAGCTCGTCGACGAGGCGTCTGCAGTCGTCTAGCTTCTGGAGGTCGGCGGGGATGGCGTGGCATTTCCCGGGGCCTTTGGCGGTGAGGGCGGCGGCGGAGGCGGAGCAGGCTTTCGCGTCGCGGGAGGAGATGTAGACTGTTGCGCCGTTTGTGACGTAGCCTTCTGAGATCATGTAGCCTATTCCTTTCGCGCCGCCTGTTACGAGGATGTTTTTGTCCTGGAGAGGGGGGGGTTAACTTGGTGTTTGAGAATTTGATTTTGGGAATTGTCGAGGATGTGGATGAGGACGAGGACGATGGAGAGGGAGAGGGAGCTTGATCTTTACCTTGACGTTGAAGAGCGATGCGACATCCATTGCTGCTGATTTCCTACTATTTCGTTGGGGAAGATGGGAGTTGTTGCTGTAGCTTGACTTCCGGTACAGGACAATTGACAAGTTGAAACGACCAAGTTGGAAACAACACAATCGAATCTGAAAGAGGACCGAGAGATGTAGATGTAGAACGATGAAAGACAAGGGTGCGGGAGCTATCTTCGGCTGATATTGAGAAGGAGAGCAGCTTTCGGTGTGCGGCCGTCTGAGCTTCCCCAGCTGCGAAAAACGAGCCGAGGCTCACGGTCGTTTGGAGGGGTCTAGGCCGAGGGCGCGTCCCCCGATCCCCCGACCGATAAGGGGTACATTGCTTCTTGCCCCGGACTGCGCTGCGGGGAAAGTATACTGCATCTTTTACCACGCGACACCGGCTCCAAGGTACAAAGATGCGACATTGGGAGCTTGAAGTTTTCCTGCGTTACCTACATATTGTATACGTGAAGCCGCAGTCTTGATCTGAATTACTCAACGTATCCTGTTCCATGGTTCACGAACCTCGCATGTTTGTGCATTTCAGTAACATCGGTTACTTGTTTGTTCAAATACCTCAAAGAAAGGCAAAACTATGCTAATCTGACAGACATGCCTGTTCGTCTCTACTTGACTGTCCGTTTGCCCAAAAGTCTATTGTCATGGTCATCCGATTAAACCGCAACCACCAACGCCATTGCTCAATTTCAAATCCGTTGTTCCGTGCCGGCGACGGAGTGCTGATGCTGCCGGGCTCGAGGTCTCTTACACAGTGGTCGGTATCGATACCCCATCTGCACGAGAGCCATGAGGAGCGCATGTACTATCCAAGTATAACCACTTGTACGAGGTTGCGCGATGGATGAGACCGCCAACGCCACCGACGTTTCTCCATGCTCGTCAACACGATATCTCACACGTAACATCTACGACGTCGACGACCTCGGGCTGCGCTTTCTCATAAAAGCCGGCAGCCTCGACGGCTTCTCGCCGCTCTCAGTCGTGTTGGTCGTCTTCTCCGGCGTAGTGCCCGCCCCGCCGGCAGCAGCAGCGGCGGCGGCAGCCTCCCTCTCTTTCCTAGGCGAGCAGCAGCAGCCCATGGCCATGTGGAGGATGGCGGCGAGGTCGACGAGGGCGCTGGCGAGCCACATGAAGACGAACATGCGCACGCCGAGGACGGCGTTGATGTTGAGCTCGGACTGCTGGGTGAGGGCGATCTTAGCGCCGACGCTCATGACGGTGCCGATGATGGAGGCGACGGTGACGAGGAGGCCCGCGATGCCGGCGAAGATGGCGACGGGCAGGCTCCACCAGCGCGAGCGCATGACGAGCGGGGTGACGATGAGGAGGGCGGCGGCGAGGGAGATGCCGGAGATGAAGAGGCCGAACATGACCTGCTGGCCGATGCGGAGGATGTTGAGGATGGTGCTGACCTCGGAGGGGAGGGCGATGGTGGCGCCGGCGAGGAGCTCGTTGGTGAGGATCTCGATGGGGTTGAACCACCACATGCGCTGGGGGGTTGAGCAGAAGGTGACGCCCCTGGTGATGGCGTGTTAGTAACGTTCGTTCCTACGATCGAGACACCTGGGGGGGCACTTACTCATCGTTGTAGCCTTCGCAAAAGTTCCAGAGACCGACTTGGTAAAAGTCGTGGAGTCCCAGGCTGCGGGCTACGGAGTTGAGGAGGACGGCGTTGGCCGAGGAGAGCGGGATGATGTCGGAGACATCGAGTTTGAAGAAGTAAATGTCCGTCAGAACGGGCTTGATGGAGGTGTTGCCGATGATGACGAGGATGAGGAAGATGATGGCGATGAAGTAGCAGACGGCCGCGGTGATGGCGCTGTTCCGGCGGACTTTGGCCATCGTGAGGGTCTTTATTCGGAGCTTGAGTTTTGGAGAGGAGGAGGATTGCGGTCGTCGTAGGAGGGCGGACTTGGAACCGGAATCTGGGACCCGGTGATGATGGAGTACAGTATACGGAGAATCTCTCCTCTCTCCCCAGATATCTCACGTAGATGCGTATGTGAGGGCAAGATGACGCGGTAAGGTAACCGGAGCTCTCTCTAACTTTGCCGATGGTCCGGAGAGGTGACAAAAAAAGAGAATTGAATAATACCCGGGGGATTCGTCCTGTTGAGCGATCCAGGCGCGGCCGTACTCGAGAAAGCCGTCCGTAATCCGAGAGTATTAGGCGTAGGCGTCTCGGGCCAAGGGGCTATGATGCGAAAAAAGGGAATCGGCCCTACGTGTGCAAAAAGGTTGGCGGAGCGGGGAGGAGTCGGGAAGCCAAAGAAGGACCAGAGACGGATAATGACGATGAGCGTCAGGAAGCTAGCTCGACTGATGGAATCCACTCGGCAATTTTGTGTCTGGAAGATGGAAAAGGAACAAAACAAAATGATTCCAGACCAGGCCAGGCCGTCACAATAGATTCGATGGAGTACTCCGTAAACACCCCTGGACTCTGGAGCCCTGGTGGTTGGTAAATACGGACAAGGCGTCAAAGACTCGAGGCAGAAGCAGGGCCAAGACACCGGAGCCAAACCTGGATGGATAGATGGACAGATAGAGAGACGAGAGAGGATAAAACAGAGCGGGACGGGTCTGATTGAGTTGGCATAAACCCAGGCGTATCGCTGTTCTCCGGGGGGGTTGCTTTCTGTGTAGAGGCTGAGGATGGTCCAGGTGTTTGCATGGGTCACTGACAGCCGGACAGGGAGAATGACGTCGTAGCAACCAATATCTTTTTTATTTTTTTCTCTCTCTACACTAATTTTCCCTCTCTTTCTGCTGCTACTGCTGCTGCTGCGTTTTCTGCATTGGATCATCCCAGCGTTTTTCTTGCTAGCGGCGCGCCACGGCTAGCGGGTCCGTAGGTATCTAAGTGGGACTCCGCTGCCTCATTCCAGGTTGTGCGGTGGGTCCATCCACCTCATGTTTCCAAGCTGCCGTCCATCTCCATTTCGTCTCACTCACTCACTCACTCACAGTCGCTCATATTCACAAGTTCACGGTCTTTTCACAGACAAGAACTCAACTCAATGGATAGAACACACAGACTCTCCAGTGACGGCACAGACGAATGGAGTGCAGCAGTCGATAACTGCATACTGCAGCATCATGGCTCACCTCGGGGCTACTCCTCGGGGCGTCAAAAAGGGGGAGAGAGACATCAAGTCCCGTGGCACCGCCGCGAGATCAGGTATCCGTACGTCAGTACCATTCTCCATCCAGAACAGGATCCCAAATGCCTTTCCAGTTTCGGGTTCCGAGGGGCCGTCTAAACGAGCTTCGCGCGGCCCCCATACGGATACCCGCAACCACCACCGTGACCACCCCCATCCCATCTGCCCATACTTGGTACAGCACCGCCTCCAAGCCTCCGTCGACGAGTTCCAGCCAACCGGGCCGTTGTGCCACTCTCTCCGCGGGCGGGGGATCTGTATCCTTCTGTGGGATTGGTAGCCACTCCTCAGCTGAAGTGGGATCATCACGGTTGACAGCGGTTACTAAGCGCAAAAGGAAGTTCGGCAAGCCGCTCGAAATGCAAATGGAACAGCAACAACTCAACAACGACAGCAGCCTGATCCACGACCCATCAGCAAGCCAGGTGCGTACCTAGAGCCAGACGGCGGCTGTGTGAGATGAGATTTCAATGGGTGGATTAATGGTTGGTTAGGGCCGCTTTCTCCTTGTTGCACCATCGATCCGACTCCCGGCCCCCGTACGGATGTCCCCCGTCCCGCCTTGTGTCTCCTGCAGGTTGCATCTCTCTTCCTCCTATTCGCGCAGATAGATATACGTGTATTGTGCTCATGATGCTCATCGCTGAGGCATATCCAAGGAGAATGACCCACGGAGGAGGGGTGTCGAGGTGTTTCTCTCCCAGGGACCAAGTCAGAAATAGTTTTGAAAATTCCCCGTCGTAGCATCCAAGGGTCACGATCCCGGCAGGGACCCAGATAGATGTCTTGACCTAAACAAACGAAATGAGGATGGGCGGCAAGTGTTGAGCCTAAAACTCTGTTTTGTTTTTTCTAGTACCCTTTTTTTTCGATCTTCCTGATCTACCTCTCAGCCTCAATGACGATGGTCATCGATGACCATTGTCCATATTTTTCCAGCTTGCCGGATCTTTGTTTTGCAAACATGACGAACAGTTTGGGTTTCTCGGATTCCAAGGAGACAAAGGCGCGTCCAGCAGGGCCATCCTGCACGCGCGTCCGTCCCCGCCACGCCGGCACAGGAGCCGGTGATCGCCAGGGATATCCGTATAGGGCCCCCGGTCCATGGCTTTCTGCGCTGTCCTTTGCCGCAAGCCACAGCCGCAGATATGCAGTGGTACCGTAAGGTAGTCAGTCTGGTACGGATGGGTAGATGGAACGGCGCGTCCATGACTTGACCTGCTGGCCATCTGTCGTATCGGGATTGTTGGTGGGTTACTTCCAGTCAATGTCTCTCAGTCTCTTGACAGCCTCTCTCAACATGCCAAATACAGTCACCTGCTGCCTGCTTGCAGTACAAGTATACGCACAAAACAAATGTGACAGATAGGTTCCAATGACATGACTGCGTGACCCTGTCGAGCTGGAGCTGCCGATGAGATGACCAGCAGGGACCCGGCACATCCCCAGCGATCCTCGCAGCAGCTTCCGGTGGTGGTGGGTCCGTCTTGATGGGGCTCTGTGCTCCTGGTGTCCACTATCAACCTGGCTAGGTGAGGTAGCTACTTGGGGCCCGGTACCCCCTGCCAGTTTGGCGGTAGCGCCGTACGGGGCCTGGGCCACCACCCCTCCAAGCCTCCAAGGCGTGCCGCAGGCCGCAGGCTGCAGGCTACAGAAAGAATGTCTGGGCCACCCCGGGGAAAACGAGGAAGGAAGTACACAAATATTATGTCATAGCTGGACGTAGCTGGACGTGTGCGAAGTCTCGACAATTGGCACAAAGGTCCAGGGAAAATAGTCGTTCCTCTAGACTCCAGAGTCTAGATTTCTCGTTGCTGGCTGGCGCAACATTGGCAAACGACCGCACCTTTCCTCTCTCATATGTGAAATTCTCGACCATTTCTTTCCGCCTCTGCCGTTGCGTGACGAAGAGAATAACGCCTCGAAAAAGAGTATACTAGGCACCCTAGCGTGCTTCTGCTTTTCGGCGGTATTTTTTGCTTGGGGATCGTCATCGAAACTCTCCTCGTCCGATAACCGTTTTTGGCTTCTGTCTCCCGTCTCCCGTCCCTCGCCCAACTCAAATTTCTTTCCCCCGAGGGGCGCACCGTGGTCACTGCGTCTTGCAGCCATCCCAGACTCTCTCAAAGTCTACTCCCAGACCTCGAATAACATACAACCATATCGAGCCCGGGAAACCACCCCTACCTTACCTTACCTGACCATTCCCTCGAGAAGCAACAACAACTCCACGACTTCCCTTCCCTTTCCTCGCGGCCACTCCACCAACAAAGTCCTCGCCAGAGAGGCTGCCTCGCCCAGCATGACAGGACCACTCTTTGCCCTCTCCCTCGGGCTCTTATCCCTCTTCACAGCCCAAGCCGCAGCGCAGGACCAAGTCAGCACGAGCACATTCACCCTCTCCAACACCGACGACGTGACTTTCCTCTCGGGAACCAAGACCGTCGCAGTCACCCAGCCCAGGACCCCAACGGGTCCCTACGCAACCTACACCTCGAGAATCACCCTCACAAATGGAGACCTGTCCACCATGACCGGGACCATGACGGTCACCGGCAACGTCACGCAAACCACCACAAATTCCGTGGGCCAGTCCGTCGTCATCATCTCGGGCCAGACCTCCGTCGTCACCTCCACCATCACCGGCACCGATGCCAATGCCACCCAGACCGAGACCGCACCCGCCGGCCCGACAAACACACAGCCCTGCAACAACTACGTCGAGTTCTGCGACCGCAAGTACAGCAACGTCACCGAGGTCGGGTGTCACAACTCCCCCTTTGTGCGCCCCGGGAACTCGGCCTCCAACCAGGCTCTCGATGTCACCACCCAGCTCAACGACGGCATCCGCTTCCTCCAGGCTCAGATCCAGTGGCCCACAAATGGCACGGTACCGCACTTTTGCCATTCTTCCTGTGATATCCTCGATGGTGAGTTCTGTTCAAGACCAAGCTTCATCCTCAAAGAGCCATTAGCTAACCTTACACTACAGTCGGCCCCATCACCGAATGGCTCACCACCGTCCGCGAATGGGTCGCCTCTCACCCGTACGACGTCGTCACCATCCTCCTCGGCAACGGCAACTACTCCACCCCGGACCTCTACGCCCCCTTCATCGAGTCAACCGGAATCCTCCAATACGCCTACCAGCCTCCCTACCTCCCCATGAGACTCGAAGACTGGCCCACCCTCTCCCAGATGATCTTGGGGGGCAAGCGCGTCGTCATGTTCATGGACTACATGGCCGACCAGCAGAAATTCCCCTGGCTCCTCGACGAGTTCTCCCAAATGTGGGAGAGCCCCTTTGACCCCATGGACCGCACCTTCCCCTGCACCGTCCAGCGCCCGCCCGACCTCTCCCAGGAAGCCGCCCGCGACCGCCTCTACCTCATGAACCACAACCTAAACGCAGAGTACAACATCTTCGGCGCCTCCATCCTCGTCCCCGCCGTGTCGTTGTTGAATTCGACAAACAACGCCACCGGCAACGGGTCCCTCGGCGGCGCGGCCCAGAACTGCACCCGCGACTGGGGGTTCCCGCCAAAGGTGCTCAATGTCGACTACTACAACTACGGCGACCCCGAGGGCTCCGTCTTCCAGGTCCAGGCTAAGATGAACAATGTCACGTACACGCGCGAGTGCTGCGGCAAGGTTACCGGCGCGTCGCCCGGCCGGCCG